TATTGATGTTGAATGGGAATTCAGTTCTTTCTAAGTGTCATCCAGCCACTGTGATGGGAAAGGAGGTCACATTTCTAGAAAGAACATACTTCGTAAAACTTGTTTTATGGCGATGAATGAGTGGGATTATCTTGTCCCAAACTTTCAACATAATTCACAACCCAGAGATTTTTTTTTTGTTTACTTTGAAGGACAGGTCATGCATTTAAAACCAAGGGGAGTAGGTTGTTGTGATTACAGCAATAGATTTCTGGGATGAGTTTTGAATAATAAAAAAAAAAAACTGTCAGAAGGTCTAACTGTAAGTGATTAAAACTACAGATTTATTCAAAGATCTTGTTTACTAGACCCAAAGGTCAGTTGGGTCAGGAAGCATCTCGGTTCATTTCGTCGGGTGTTTGGGACTGAGACATATTTCTACATGATAAGGTCTTGTTGGGATACAAGTCTTATATTAATTTCTTGGTCCTTCGGGTAATATTAGATAAGCATCTTGGAGTATTATGCCCGTACCAAATGTGGTCAACAAACTTATATTTGGGCTGTAACTTATTTAAAGCTAGAGTTCATTCAGAATCTATCTTTATGTAACAAGATAATAAGAGTTTAAAATTACTTTTCAATGTATTTGTTTCTATATCATGTTTTATATGTGATGCTAAAGTTAAGTCCCAAAATCACTTCTAGGGGTTTCTTAAAAACGGTGCTGTTAACGGTAATTTTAAAAATGAACGTTTCCATAAAGTATTAAATAACCATTAACAAAGTTGACAAGCTTATCTCATCCCTTAGTCTAGTGGAATCATGCCTGCCCTAAAATTTGGGGAGAATCTATCTGTGACGGTAGTTAGGAGATATTTTATTTTCTAAGATTCAATATAATGGTCCATGCTGAATGTGTCTTTAATAACTTATACATAAGATAAATTGTTAATATTTTGGAAAGTAATAACGTTCTCTTTAAGAGTCTTTAGAAGATATTAAAATATCTACCTAAGAAATTAGTTTGTTCTTTTCATTCATTACAAAACTATAGGTTAATGTATTGATTAAATGGAGGGTGTCAGAAGAGTCTCTATTGACACTGGAGAGTATTAAGCTGTTGAATTGGGGTGATTACCACTTAACTTTTTTTTTTTTGACAGGCTTTAAATATCCCACAATGCAAACTGTATGACAGTTGTTAGATATTATACGATCGATCATATATTTTTGTGGTTGAACATTATATGTCTATGTAACAATAGGTTTAATATAGAACATAGTTTTATTACCGTTGTTGTGACTAATATTACATGCATCTTTTTTTTCAATTCAGTTAACTAATTACATATATCTGAGAACAGTGATTTTTATCACAAGTTCCCTTGAAATCTCTAAATAAATCTTGTGCAGTAGCTTCCATTGTTCTCTAAACATTTCTCCAATTTCCACATTGTTTTTAAAATCTGGGCACTAGGCTGGCGAAGAAAATGCTTTCGTATTCTGTGTTAATGACAGCAGCAACTAGAGGATTTTTTGAAAAATTCTTGTCATTGGTTCAACCGATTAACATATTTTTTTTAGTTGTGAAACAAAAGGTAATGGCTATTATTTAACTACAATTGATATAATCAAATCTAAGTGTATAATTTCTCAGTCTTCACGTTAATAGTTTGATACCAGTTGCTGGGTATCATAATAAAACAATTTTCTACAGAACAGCTTCTGCATATCCCAGCAGTTATTATTTTGTTGTTGTGTGTGAAGTTTGTAATAACGAGAGTTAGATGAATGAGGACGAGAGGTACTCGGCATCTTGTATTTTCAATATGGTTCCGAAAACCAAGACAGAAAAATTGGATTTGTTCCAGTTATAGGTCAAGGTGTGAACTTGCATAGAGCAGTATAAAGGTAACATTTGAGAATGCAGATTCCACTTGAGGAATCAACGTCTTCCAGGTTTATTTTCGTTATTTTAGTCCTGGCTCTAATTTTTTTTTAACCTTTTAATAAAATTATAAATAATACTAGCTGCAACTAACCACTACCAATAAACAAGACAAAGGCCTGGTTTAGATGTACTTTATATTAAGTTATTCAGCTTTTGCTGCTGTTTAAAAAAAGCAGAAATTTGAAATTGTGTATTTATAGGTTAATCAATAGCTTTAGGGTTAGATTTGTCTTTCAACACTTACCTTTATGTGGTGACATATAAGTACTCTGCATAATAAATTTAATCTCATTTTTTCTAAAAAGTTAATAAGCATTCTGTGGAAACTTTCTCACATTCAAGAAAGCTTCAATGTACTAAAAAATAAATGAAGTCCAATCAGTCGCTTGGATATACTGGTTTCAGGGAAAATTAAGAGTAAGACTAGGCTTTGTACATTTGATTTGTTGCTTGGATATACTGAATAGGCTTCGTACAGTGATAACAGGATCACTGTGCGAGTGAAATCCATCTCAAAAGCTTCAGTGTACTGTCGTGTATTTAATATCATACCAGTATAAAATGAGATCAAAGCTTAGCAAGTACGTTTTATTTAAAAGTTTGTAGTTGATAAATAACTTATTTAAGTACTCAATTTTAGCCTTCTAGATTTTCCTTATTACTGTTGTTGATCTCAAAAGTACAAGTTTCTCTTAAAATAACAAACTCGTGGGTTTTCAAGTACGAGTAATTTTGCTTATTCCAGTACAATGAACATGCCAACTATCTCGTATGAATAGAAAAAAAACTGATGTTATCTATTTTGTACATAGTCGTTTGAATGGCACCTATGAATGAATAGGCTTGATGGTAAATTTGACCCAATCTGTAAAAAGTGGTGCCACAGTTAAGATGAATACTGTAGTTAAATGAAGAGAAAATTATTTTAACTGGAAACTACAAGTTATTTTTTTACTGAAAAGAAAACAAAAGTACAATTCCATGCAAAGTTGAGATTTTTAGGCTCACTGGGTATTTAAAGCACAGATGCAAGTCCATGGACACATTATTACTGTCTGCACCCCCTCCTTAAACTAAATTTTGTGTTAGAAACTCGCACTACGTAACGGTTCTATGTAGTACTTTAAATCTTGATTTTTTTGTTAAGATAGTTTGGATAAAATGTTCATTTGGGAGTATTAGATGTAAAAGAGTTTCTATTAACAGTCATTTATACGTGTGTGAGATACGATACATCAAAATGAAGACTGGGTAGTGTTGTTTATTCAAGTAATGGTATCGTGAAGGGTCCTTAATTAATAACTATAAAGAATAATGTTATATGTACAGCTAGTTTGCTTATCATTGTTTGAATTGTACACTGTTAATAGATTTGAAAGAATTTTAAGATGCACATTTAATTGGCCACATGGATTGTCTGTCTGTGTCTTTTATGTGATGGGAGGATACAAGTTTATAGCCTGTATTTTTGCTTTAAATGCAAACCTGTACACACAATAGTTTTGAATGTGGTTAAGAACTGAGGTGTTGTAGTTAACAGCTTCAAAGTTCTGTCCCTACAAACTACAATGTAGCTTCCTTATGTACATGTAATAAATAGTTTGTATAAAAAAATTTCACATTTGTGAAAAATGGACTGGTTTTTTTTTAAAGCAACAGATTATTTGAGCTCCATCCCACAAGGAAAAATGATGGAAAATACTGTTATTAAATTTATCAGTTTAGTATATGTTGTAAAGAGTTAAAAACATGAAAATGAATTTTGACTTAAAGACACTTCAATAATGTTTATTAGAAGTATTTACACCAAATTATTTTTATGATTCTAACAAACAGAAATATATTGAAAAAAAAGTTTGAACACTATTTTTTTATTTTAATCAGTAGGATGAAGTTAAGCTATCTCTAATGAGTGAAGGTCCATACACTCAAAATGTTTTTGTAAACACTGTCATGACGTATCCAAGTCTAACATCAACAAAATTGTATGCCTTTGAAAGTAAGAAATAATACTTAAAAACAACTTTTTTTACCACATCCATCATATCAAAAATACTCAGAACCCCAAAATTTGATCTTTCATTCAGATCACAATTCACGGGTATCGGTGGACACGACACGACGAATACCCACAATCTGATTATATATATATATATATATATATATATTGTTAGCTTATCACTCAAACAGTACAGATAATGCTTAATCAAACCACAACTGTATATAAAGGGTGCGAGTCATTTTAAAGGTTCTTTTCATTTTCTTGGACAACTAGCACGAAAGTGTAGCAGTCACATGGTCACAAGTTGTTTCCTAGACAAGCTAATTTTTAATGTACAATTTAGTGAACATTTCTTTTAAACCGAGTTCCACTGCATTATGGGTTTTTTTCTTGTCTTTATTATTAATCTTGTGTTTTATAGGTAAGAAAAGAGAATTTTATTTGTAATAGTTTTTAATTAATTTTATAAGAAGTGTGTGTGTGTGTTATTACTATCAAACTTATCAATACTATTAGCCAGATCTGGTGATGTATTAATAACTTAAAATAATTAAAAATTTGGAGGACTGCCTCAGTACTATGAAATTTTTTTCAATATCATTATTAGAAATACTTTTTGGTCAAGTTTTCAGGGACAGAGCCTAATACCCCCCTCCCCTAGGTGCTCCTACTGTACACAAGTGATTCTAGTTTCATTAATGTGAGGATGATCTCAAGGAACAACAGCTATGTTACACTAGGTGCTGCTACTGTACACAAGTGATTCTAGTTTCATTAATGTGAAGATGATCTCAAGGAACGACAGCTACGTTACACTAGGTGCTGCTACTGTACACAAGTGATTCTAGTTTCATTAATGTGAAGATGATCTCAAGGAATGATACCTACGTTACACTAGGTGCTGCTACTGTACACAAGTGATTCTAGTTTTGTTCATGTGTGGATGATCTCAAGGAATGATACCTACGTTACACTAGGTGCTGCTACTGTACACAAGTGATTCTAGTTTCATTAATGTGAAGATGATCTCAAGGAACGACAGCTACGTTACACTAGGTGCTGCTAGTTTTGTTCATGTGATGATCTCAAGGAATGATACCTATGTGACACTAGGTGCTGCTACTGTACACAAGTGATTCTAGTTTTGTTCATGTGAGGATGATCTCAAGGAACGACAGCTACGTTACACTAGGTGCTGCTACTGTACACAAGTGATTCTAGTTTCATTAATGTGAAGATGATCTCAAGGAATGATACCTACGTTACACTAGGTGCTGCTACTGTACACAAGTGATTCTAGTTTCATTAATGTGAAAATGATCTCAAGGAACGACAGCTACGTTACACTAGGTGCTGCTACTGTACACAAGTGATTCTAGTTTTGTTCATGTGTGGATGATCTCAAGGAATGATACCTATGTGACACTAGGTGCTGCTACTGTACACAAGTGATTCTAGTTTTGTTCATGTGAGGATGATCTCAAGGAACGACAGCTACGTG